TCCCAACACAGCATATCACATCAGTGGCAATCGCGCAGAGCCTCCTGATTGGTTGCTGCTGATACAAATATTAACATGGCAGTCTTAGTAAGAGGTAGTAAGCGCCCTTTCTCCTGGAGTGTAAGCCTCACAGAAAGGCAATTTCATTGGACAACAAATAGATTGAGACAACTCAAAAGCAAGTGACCACAGTAAAAACGGTCTCAAACGCGCTGAACAGAGTCAGTAAAATGCCCAGCGGAAAGTGGGGATGATCTCCCCAACATCACGCTATCATCCGTGCAACAAACCGTCTCCCGTCTAGCACCATCTTTTGTCGACTCCACCTCCATATTGTCTCCAGCACTCCTGGATGCCATATCTCCCTTCACACGCTTTTTCAACCGAATATCGCTGGCGCATATCCCATCTCATGAATAGAGACGAAATCACGTCTTCTCCGGGAAAGACGAGGTCCTCGGGATCTGAAGAGTTGGCCCTAATCGTCCCACCTCTTGACTTGGAATTTGCCTCCCTTTCAGAATACGAAGATCATATAAGCCCGATACCGATTCAGCCAGCACTGCAAATCTATCCTTCACAAACCCCAATCAAAGAAACGGCGATCCCGGAAAAAGTGATTTCTAAAGCCTATCGATTTTTTTCGTCGTTGACAGTTAAAGATCTCAAAAAAATTAGTTCACCTTGGAGCTTAAGATCTCACGGCAGAAAGAATGAGATTGTTGCTGAATGCGTACTGTACGTGTTGAATAAGTGCGAAGACGGTCAACCAATTGAGGAAGTTATGGGCGAAAACCCGTATTGTTCAACTTTATTCAAGGTGAGCACTTTCAATGGCAACCGCCACACGCAGACGCGCTCAAAGGGGCAACTAAAAATGCTAACTGTGGGGACGGGGAGAATCCAAAGTGGCCAAGATGACGTCAGAAAATTTTCACTCAAGACACGGCACGTGTCCGAAGATATTATACTCGAAAACGAAAATATTGCACCACTGGAGCCGTTTTCTTTGAATGAATATGCCCGTCTATGCCTCACTTTGCGTGACCATGAAGCTTGCCGAAGAGCATTAATTATTTCTGGAAAAGAGATGAGCGCGGCAGCACTTGATGCCAACCTACGGAGGGATTATTTTTGGGTGGATGTGGTAGAAAAGGTGTTTAATGACGTCAATCATAAGCCACTACTCCCAGAGCTGATCGGAGTGCTTTCAAACGTGTCTGCAGAACGGTGCCCTCCGTGTTTTCGCGGTGGAGAGAATCTCAAAGAGCACTTTTGCAAGCTGCGTTCTGAGTTCAGCGATCCCCTCGATCGCTGGCAGCGCTCGGGACAAGGCGATCCTGATCGATTTCCTGAGTTTTTAAGCACCGCACGAGGAGAGCTCACTGCCAAGTCTAAGCCTCTTTTATTGTTTTTTGTGGTGTGCAGATGCGGTACTCCCTCTGTGAATACTGACTTTATGAACATGGCTTCAAAAGTGATGACATGCGCCGATAAAAGGGGGTACGAGGAAATTTGTGAGGCCTTGGACGACGCCATGGCCGAAATCCCGGAGAGCCTATCTCTTCCCACCTCAAGCGGTTCACGCAAGCGAAGGCGGAGCGACGATATCGATTTAAGGGAAGAAATGAAGAAGGTGACTACCGCTATTACTAATCTTTGTCAAAACACGCCTTCTCCCGATATCATTGCCATCGAGAGAATCAAGGCACAGTCTGAACTTTTTGGCCTTATTAAAACCGCTGTAAGCATGGACCATGATGGATTATCAACTAGAACATTGCCAGAGGCCGACGCTGAGCTACAAGAAATGATGAAGGAACATTATGCGTCAGCCAAAAATCACCTCCGCAAACTGTTGGAAGACCCGAAAAAATAACCTCCATCGAAGCCGCCTCGTAGTGATACAAAAATGATAGCAGTAGACCGGATAGCGACGGTGGCTTACAGTTATGGGAGGCGGTGTACACACGGCGGCGGTGTTTACGGAACCCTAACAACGCCCTCCCTTCAAGACCATAGATAGTGTACTGCAAGCCGGAGTCCCGCCGACTTTCCATAGCTGGACCCTACTGGAAGTTCGAATTTGGCTACATGGAGTCCAAGGCCTCCACTCGTATGTGAAAATGGAATGAAGTAATGGAAAGGTGGCGGCGTGTTGGTATGCATATGCTTCCGTGCTTTTCCTCCTATCACAAAAGAAGAAAACGCATCTCAAAAAAAATCTCAAAGTACTGTAGGGAGACCTTTGCGTGTGAATTGGACGTTCTTATCTGTAACTTCAATTTATACCGATGAGGAGTTTTCCAGCGCATTCCGAATGTCTCGTCCCATCTTCGCGAAATTGTTGCGACTTATTCAGTGTAATTCAGAAAAACATTGAGATGGGTCAAAGGTCAAAGAGAACAACTGTCATGCCAGATATGCGCCTCGGAATCACCTTACGCCTACTAGCTGGAGCAGATATGTGGGACCTCATATCAAGCTACCACGTGAGGAAATCTACTATCCACAGAATTTTTGAGGACACTGTAAGTGTGCTAAATGTGGTCCTCCGGCTTCCTGGACTGCCAAAAACAAGAGAAGATCTCTATACATCATCAATCGCTTTCAAAACCTCAAGAAAAACACTTAGTCCGTTGGACGGATGTGTCGGGGCTCTAGATGGTCTTGCAGTTAAAATCACTAAACCAAGGGAGGAAGAAAACCCCGCGTCGTACTACAACAGAAAAGGGGTTTACGCCCTTTGTGTGCAAGCTATGGTGGACTCCAATTATCGTTTTCTGACATACTCCTGTCGCTGCGTGGGTTCGACTCATGACTCGCTCAGTCATGAGACCTCAAGTTTAGGAAGATATCTCCAGGAGGGCCGTTTGTGCGAAGAATTTTTGATAGCCGCTGACGAAGCATATTTGTGCACTGAAACTGTCATAACACCTGTACCAAGCTCGCAGGTTACAGAGACAGAAAATGCGTTCAATTTCTACCACTCGTCACTACGAATGCACGTAGAGCAGGCGTTTGGGGTTTTAGTGGCCAAATGGGGCATTTTGCAAAGGCCCTTGCGTTTTGCAGTACGGAAGTCATCACGAATTGTGTGCACTGCCATGAAGATACACAATTTCGTTGTCGATGAAGGCGGTTCGAGACGAGAAGGTATGACAGCAGTGGAGTTTAGACAGGTTTACGCAGAAAGCTTGAGGTAGCACAGACAAATGACGCGGTCAGCAAACAAAGGTAGGGAAACAGGACGAAGAATGGCGGGTTCGAGAAAACGTGACAGTCTCATAGATCTGGTAAAGGCAAAACGATTGGAACGACCTTCTGTAGGCCAACGCCACAAATAAATATTCGTCCCTCTCTACAAGTAGTGCTGCAATTGGATTATTCGAAATGGTTGGCGTGGGAAGCTATAGAAGGTCATGGCCTTCTAGACAAGCTCGGGCGCTGGCGATACTGAGGAAGGGACACGAACAGAAATGGAACGAGGTACGCAAGGAGAAAAGTTGAAAGATGGGAATGGAGTGGAAAAGGGGAAGCTGGGGTTGACTAAGGTGAGATGGAGCTGGAGTTCAGGACGGGGAGCTAAGACTGTGGGGATGGCGAGGGAAGCAAGAAGCTGCAGTTGGTGAGGGAGCCAGGATGCTGGAGATGGTGAGAGAGAACTAAAGCCGAAAATGGGAAGGGAGGGACGACTCTGGGGACGTTCCGGGAGAAAGAGAGCTGCAGATAAAAAGGGAGGCAGGAAGCGGCGGTTTTTGAAGGAGAGGGGAGGCTGAGAATGGTGAGGGAGGGGGGAGCTGCAGTTGGTGAGGGAGGTAAGAAGCTGCGTTTTGTGAGGGAGATAGCAAGCTGAGGATGGGAAGGGAGGGACGACTCTGGGGATGTGAAGAGAGTTAGGAAGCTGGAGCTAGTGAGGTAGAGAGAGACAGAGAAAGAGAGACAGGCGGAGAGACAGAGAGACGGAGTAAGTGATATATGGGAATGGTGGAAGAGGAGGAGAGAGGAGGAGTTTGCAAGTGGGGACGCACGAGTGGATGTTGATGATCATTCGATTTGTTGCTACAGTAGTTTGAAGGACCCACTCTATTTGTACATTTTATACATCTCATTGTTTGTGCTGACCTTCTGCTTTAATGTAATTAGCCTAAAATATATATCTTAAGGTCTTCAATATATACTATCAATGTCTTTCACGTGGGCACCTCGCAGTGACCAATCATATGGCCTAACTTGATATCGGAAAGAAAGGCATGGTTCTGTTGGGACGGGCTCTCAGCTACGCGCAGTCCGCCGACAGGAAGTGATGGCGAGGTGGCGTTGCTGTTGATGAATATGTCGAGTTCTACATGAAATTGGGGATCTCCACGCTGTCCCAATTTGAACCCTTTTTTGTTGTAAACGATCCGAGTAGGTCGGCGATTATGAGTCGTCATACAGTCACTCGTGGTTCTCCAATCATCTTCTTTAGGCGTGGACTTGATTGAACACGTTAGAACGCTGTCATCCGTGTCCTTTGTTGACCAGTGCGATTCGTAACTGGAGAGAACTTTGGGGTCCAGTTGAGATCCGTCCCAAATATAGCGCCCCCCGGGAAGGGTACGACCAGAATAGAAAGAGGAACCGCCAGACGCTCATTGCAGAGCATTTCATGTCGTACAGTAAATAAGCTTTGCTGTTGCTTCTTTAGTGCATGACGTCAGTAGTGCGTTTTGTGAGGCCTGGCAAAGGGGTGCACTATTACGGGGGGTCTACTGTAGCATGAATTGCTTAGAATTATGGAACAATTGTCCACGCGCGCGTGAATGACTCAAAAACGAGGAGCTGCAAAATTGGGTATCACTGGAAAATTTTCAACATGCGCAGTTGCAGAAAAAATCAGGTCAAAAATATCCTCATGAGAGATATCACCTGAGGGCCTCCACAGCTCCCCTCAACTGGGTGTTTCTTAACGACTTTCCGCATTGTCCGGCGCGAGCCACATCAAGCACCGTTGCCCAATGTCTTGCGCGCCCCACAAGGTTTGAGATGCCGGTCACTTCCTAAGCGATTCGGCGTCTCAAGAACTTGACTAGTGTTTTTGTCGCATATCGATCCGCGACACTTGCCGGCCCTGGCCTTTTGGTGCTTTCAACGGTCGCTTTGCTCCGATCTCACCCCAACTAACCCACAGTTTGTGCAGTTAACCCCTACACTACCAGTGCCCAGCGTTTGAGTGGGCTTTCTTTGTCGTTTGCGTTGCACTCTTTTGGCTTGTACTTCAAGATAATTTGCATGAAGCTACCAGCCGCCAATCCTGAAAGTCTGCAGAAACACTCTCATAACGAAAAGCAAGAATTCTGAATTGGCCAAACGTGCGAGCGTTGCGCATAACCCGAAACCATATGCCATCTCCACGATGACCATGGAACAGCAGCGAAGCGATTTGAAGGAAGCGCTCACTGAAATGGGCTACGAAGACGCTGACGTGGAAAGCGCAATAGCTGCGGGTGTAGAATCTGTCTGGCAGGCTGTCGAATACATCCGTGGTTTACAATTGCCACCGGAAGACACCCCAATGAACTTTCCCGCACTCTCGAATCCGAAAGTCACCGCATCTTCCACATCATCCCATCCTAGTCAAAACACCGGAACTCAGTTTCGAACAGCACGCGATTCTTTGGATGGCTTGCATGGCGCTCGACAAAATACCATTTCGCCAAATCCGCAGACATCTAACTACGCCATAAAGAAGGCCTCAGAAATGGAGCAAGTCATGGAAATATCGCGAAAGGAGCAGGATGAGCGAGATCTCGCTGAGGCCATGGAATTGTCCAAGCGGGCGGAACAGTCTGCACGGCAAAACACTAGTGACGATCCACAGATGCTTCGCGCTCTTGAGGAAAGTCTCAAAGATGGCCCACATTTACAGGTGCAGGACCGGTCGGTGACATGGCAACGGCAAGGTTATGGAGATGGGATGGAGAACCTACGCACAGCGGACGAACCTGTCGGCTTGCGCAATATTGGCAATACCTGCTACTTGAATTCCTTGTTGCAAGTGTATTATCATCTTCCAGATTTCCGCCGTGCAATCCTGTCTTTCCGACCCCCCGAGGATTTTGAATCCAAATCGGAACAGGACATATCATATTCCCCAGGACAGCCACGTTTCCAGCAGCCAGTGCTTAACGAGCAACCGTTGGACGATCGCAACGATCATGAGCGCATTGAAAGGGTTATCGAGGCCTCGCAATTGAAACAATCATTCGAAGACTTCGCGACGGATGAACCCCCTAGGGTCTCTGAACCCCCGCAAGATGACCAGCAACAAGGTCCTGACGAAAATCAACAAGAGCTTGCAGCGGAAGACACTAAAGAAGACTGGCAATATTCGGAAGTGACTAGTGCGGTGCATTTTGTTGCCGAATTGCAAAAGCTCTTTGCTGCAATGGCATTGAGCAACTCCACTTGTGTGGACCCTTCTGGCGTTGCGCGTACCATGCGCCGTCCAAACGGGGATCCGATTGTCATCGGAGCTCAGCAAGATGCATATGAGTTTAACCATTTGTTTTTGGACATTGTAGAAAAGGGATTAAAGGGACTATCTACAATAGAAGAGTCTGTCGAAGTAGAGGCGGCTAAGAATTCAGAGTCACAAGGACAAGATAGTTCCTTCGATGGGATGGACGAAGCCAAGGTGTCTGGAAATATTGTCAAAGATTTGTTCACATTAAGATTTCGCCAAGAGCTTTGCCGTGACGCGCATGATGGAAACACTGGTGAACGGCCGAAGGGAACTATCCGAACTGGCGAAACTAGTGAAATCGTTGTTAACGCTACCGCGAATGAGTACCGCAGCTTGCACAGTGGTCTTGATGACTATGCATTTGCTCGAATAGAGTACGAGATGTCACAATCAAGCGAAGCTATTGCTTGTGCCTTGGACCCTCCGGTTGTGGGGTCGGTGCCGTTTGTGGATGAGAAGAGATCCGAGTCATCTACATCCGCAACAAAGAGTGTTTGGTTTACGAGAATGCCTCCGGTTATGGTTATTTATTTGCAGAGAATAACGTACAACAAAGACATTTCTCAGGCCGAAAAGATGAACGAGGAGTACAAGTTTCCCTGTCACATATACTTTGATCGGTATCTCGATAAGAACAAGGCTGAGTCTATTCGTGCGAGGACGACTGTGCAGAGATTACGCAGAGAGCGAGATCACTTGGTTTCAATGTCGAAGCAGTACGAAAACTTTTCTTCTTACCGAAATGAAACTACAAAATGCAAAGTGAGCATCGGTGCTCCCACTGAAATGGATATTTCGGAATCTGCTTCCCCTGAGGCCCGCTCTTCAGAGCGCATCCCACGGGCTACAAGCACAGACGCTTCTTCGAGAATTTCTGATGGAAAGACTCGGGCAGTGGAGCAAAATATATTTACGGCGTTCAACGCAGTGCAGTCTCGGCTCCGGGAAGGTATCAACGGGTCCTCGGAGTTGTTCGCGGTAGATGGATTGTCCAGGGAGGAAATAGAGGAGTCTTTAGACATTCTGACACGCGTAGTTCAACAAGATCGGAGCAAGTATGAAGCTCTTCAGTTGAAGACGAGGGCGCTTGACGAGGAAGAAGAAGAAGCTTACAAAGAGCTCGAGAGAGTGAAATATCAATTGCATGCAGTGCTTGTCCATGACGGAGGTCCATCCGGCGGGCACTATTGGACATTCATTCGAAACTGGAACGCGAAGGAGGATTCTCATTCTTGGATGAAATTAAGCGATTCGGTAGTGACGCATGTATCGGAAAAAGAGATGCTGTCGTGGTCTGTGGGAGGCAGGAGTAGGGCCTCTGCATATTGCCTTATTTATGCTGTAGAATCTAGTCTGGAGGGCAATTACAAAAACGGTGGGAGTATATCTGAAGAAAGCCGCCAATTATTGCCTGCTGATCGCATTAATGAGGTAGCTCGTGCGTGTGACGATTTTGAGAGGCAAATACAGGAGCAGAAGATGCCAGACGCATAATTTTCGTCCGGATTATGCCTAGACCGGCTTGTTTTTCACGTTGAACAATGGAGTTGTAATATGCTTGTCCGTCATGGTCATAGGACTGACCAGAGAGGCAAGAAGAAGAAGAATGACTCTTTGCGACTCGAATCCCCGATGTTCGGTGGACTGTATGCAATTATTGCAAGTGAGGTTAGTAAGCGAAGTTGTTGAAGACACGGATGTCAGTCTCGACAGCCAAACATTTGCGATGATGAAACTTTAACGGATTCCGTAGCGTGGAGGCAAGATGTGATTTGTTCAGTGGGTTACACCACCGGGGTTGTTGAGGGAATGGCGGACGAGATGACATGGTGTGCCCTCTCGTAAGCCAATTTGGTATATGGGTTGGGGGGGGGGGGGCAAAAAGACGCTTTCGGTCGATGGGAGGCTTGCTGTTACTGGATGATACGATTTAATAAACATTTAATAGCAGTTGCAATTGTGGGGAAGATGGAGGGCCGTGTATAGAGAACTGGCAGAGTGCAGTGTCTAGAGAGAGAGCGGTGCGAATCGTAAAAATGGAAAACATGGGATGACACGGTCAAAGTAAATTAGTCGAATTTGCATGCTTTTGCGGCATGCTGCATATCGTTGGTGAGATTGCGCGTGATCCTGGATGTTCATTTACCGTGTAGTCAAGGGTACCCAAGGGTACAGTATAATACCGTACAGCACATCTCTAAATTATATGGGTGTGGTCAGAAGCGGAATGGAGAAGCGAAACATACGGTACCCTTGTGTTGCGCCCACACATTCGTGACGAAGTGCGTCTGCATTAGCACTGGGCGGCGGTCGCTGCCAAGAGAAAAGAGGCATGGCGGTTGCGGTTGCGTGGGCCAGCGGCGGGCTTTGCGCTTGGAGAGATGGAACGAAAGGGCGGGGATATCGCGAAGGGAAGAAGGACGCCAAGGAGGTGATTGAGAGGGCCAGAAGGAGGCGCGAAGAGGTGAAGCGGAACGCTAGAGACAGAGCCTCCGGCACTTGAGGGCGCGGGTAGGATAGGTAGTACCAAGGGTACAGTATATATAAATAAGGGAAGATATAAAAGAAGGATCTCGGCGAGAAGGAAGAGGGGAAGGGGGCATGAGGTGGATTCCTGAGGAGTCGATTGGATTCTCGACGAGCGGAGGCTGGTATCGGATGGATTCTCGGGAACGGCTCCTGGAAACCAGAAAACACTTGCTTTGACGGTGCTCAAGTTACGGGGCACAAGCGCTTGTGTGCTGCTGCACAGCACCAGTGGTGCCGTACGGCATGCTGCAAATGGGGTTGGAAGATGGAAGCCAGGCTCTGCTTACAACTTGTAAGCAGAGCCTGTAGAGTCCGTTTGCGTTTTCGAAATTTCAGGGACCAGTGCCTCCGACCACGTTGCCACACGTTGCCACGTGGACAAGGTGGGGGCTGAGGGGTGGAGGAGCGGGGCGGGCGTGCGTTCCAACGGACAATATCGCGGGCATCAATTGGCAGAGTGGCAACCGCCTCGTTTCCGTTTTTGGCCCCGTTCTGTACCCTATTTAGAGTCTTTGCAGAACAGCACTCCGTACATCATACCCTGCACCAGTGCATGTCTCACTCGTCCACGCCTTTCCGTCTGACGTACAGAACTTGCTTCCCTCCCTACAGCAACGTTTTTATAACATCTCTCGAGGGCCGGATATGCATTGAAACCTTCTCTCTCCACGGTTCCCCCAAGGAATACACTCAAAACACATAAAAAGGGGGCTACGCAGTGA